TTAAAGCAAGTGCGGGAAGTTTTATTTAGGGGGACGGGGCTCTAAAAAGCAAAACGACTAGTCGAGTCGTTACACTTTCTGACACCTAAGCTCAGGATTATGACTCTACATATAATTTATTATTATTTTGTTGTTCGCTATGATCTTGTCTATCTTAGAGTAGACTTGATCCATCTTGATTGATACTGGTGCTATGTGGGGTGAGGATTTCTTACATATATTCCATGTTTTGCATCTTAATCTAGAACTTGCCCTGTATGTTATTGAAACGAAATAAAAGTGTTGCTCTATTTAGAAGATGATAATAGACTTTCTTTGATATGTCTTGTGAATTTTAGTCCTTTTAGATAGTGTGCCACTAGTTAGCTCGTTGAGCATGTAGCCTTTTGTTTGGATGCCGTATTTTTTTTCCTTGATCCTTTTGTTGAATCCCTAGTTTTTGCATCCTGCTTTCTTGAGCACCGTTGTTTAGACCGTGATATAAATTGATAAATTTGAAGAAAGGGATGATTAAGTGAAAAATGGTGACCAACGTTAGTGCAAAGTGATGAAAAAGCTCTCTTCAAAAGAATGTGACATGAAAAATATAAGAGAATGAAAAATATTGCTTCGAAAAAATGAAACGTTCTTGATATGAGGGAAATACTTGCGAAACAATTGATGAAGAGAGGGCTGAAAAATGCAAAGGTGCTTAGGGAAGTGTAAGTCACTATTATATAGTTCTCCTACCCGTCCCCTAGCCAACATTACAACCCGTTAAAGTCCTATTTGATTCTACTCAAGCATACTTAATTAGTAGAGATGTAAATAATGAATAAGTTTATGGTTCTTTATGCATACATGTGAATTTGTTGTGAGTGCGCGAGTTGTTCTTCGATGATAAGTCCTTATATTATATTAATTCTTTGATTTGAGTGTATGGACTATTTATTCTTGTGAGGGCACTTGTTTCATGATAGATATGTGATGTTATTAGCTTCTTTGACATAGTAGGTGAGTGAACTTAAATTTGGTAAGTTGGAGTCCGTCTATGGGGTTAGGGGGTTAGAAGTTTGTTGTTTGTTTGTGACTTGTATGTCTTGCACGGTGATGAGGAAGTGTATATTTAATGGTTTGAGTTGCTATAGGGCCTAATTGTTAGTATCTACCGAAGTGGTGGTGTTTCTAGGCTTGATTTATTGAGAGTGGTTTTAATGCTTACTCGAGGACGAGCAAGAGTCTAAGTGTGGGGTGTGATGTTTGGCCAAAAATACATATATTTACCCATTGTTATCTCATATTCTAGTACTTTTAATCGTCATTTGAGTATTAGTTATATTATTTTGTGTGCTTAATATTATGTTTTAACTATGTAGGAATAAAACGGTGTGAAGATGAAGAGATGTGGAGCAAAATTAGATAAAACGTGAAAGAAAAAGAAAGAAAATTAAAATAATAAAAAAAAAGGGACACCCTTTGGGTTTTGTCCCCTAAGTGGAGACAACAAAGGAACATTTTACAATTCAAAAGAAGAATCGAAAGAATTGGAGACGGAAAGAATTGAAACGCTACAGCCTCCAGCATCGTGGCCAGTGCAAGGCGCTGCCCTAGATGCTTGGTACGTGAATTTTGTCCAAATTCGTCCGGCACAAGATTATTTCGGTCCTAAAAAATCTCAATTCGTATAAAAGAGGTCTTAAACCTAATTTGGAGGGGATCTAACATACTTTGAAGGAGACTTCACGTGGAGGAACACACACCACGCTGGGAGGAGGCTTCTAACTAGTTTTTTCTCTTCTCTTCTTTTAGTTTCATAGTTTATTAGTTCTAGAGTTTTGGGTGTTACATGAACGTTGTAGTTTGAAGCTTGAATTGTTCTTATTATTTTATCATATTGATTTATTTATTCGATCTTGCGCTTAATTATTTGATTGATTGATCACCAATTGAATATTATCTATGAATTTAGGATTAAACTCGGGAGAGGGAATTCTAGATTGCATATAAGATTGAGTAGAGCAAGATCCTAACTCTTAGGGAGGGCGAATTTGCGATTAGGATAGGAATATACCTAATCGCCTTGTTTGGTTACAATACAGGAATTATAAATGTGTTCTTGTTAATTCTAATTCCATAGGAATATTATAGGCGTTAGATTAGCTTGAATAGGCAAGTTTTACTTCGGAGAAGGCTACGAGCAATATTAACCCTGTCAACCAATAAACCAGATAAATTAATTAGATGATTTAAGTGGAAAACTCAACGGGATTGTTAGCTAACCCATAGCTCTAGAATATTCTCTCCCATTGAATTCGTCTTTAAACTTGTCATTGTTTTCTTTAATCTCTTAAGTTGTTACTCTAGATTAATTTTAATTAAATATTCATACTTTAGGATTTGCTTGAATAAATTAATTGTTTGGTTTAATTTAGTTGATAGTTAATCACAAGTCCCTATGGGTACGATATCTGGACTTACAATCCTATATTACTTGTCGACCACGTATACTTGCGTTTGGGAGCAACAACAAGTAATATTATAATCACTACATCATCACATCAACAGCCCGGTGCACTAAGCTCCCGCTATGCGCGGGGTCCGAGGAAGGGATGGACCACAAGGGTCTATTGTACGCAGTCTTACCCTGTATTTCTGCAAGGTTGTTTCTACAATTTGAACCTGTGACCTCATAATCACATGGCAGCAACTTTACCAGTTACGCCAAGACTCCCCACTTTTATAATCACTACAATTAGTGACAATTTTTTTCCAATACATCTGTAAGTCTAATATTTTACTGATCAAATGGTACCTCCTTTGCATTTTTTGTGATCATTTGATTAGGCACGAAATTTGAAAAATAAGAAACAATATTTTTAAATTTTATAGTCTAAGACATGTCATAGACATGCATATGTGTAACCGGCAAATCATGTCACTAAGCAAAAAATATGAAGTTTAAAGTTAAGTTGCTTACAAATATAAAAATATATTATTTTTTCTGACAAATTAAAAAAAAAAGTATGTCATATGAATTAGACAGAGAAAGTATAATTTAAGATTTCATTATATTTATCAACAAATGTGAATATAGGACTAAAAGAAGTCGTCATAAAGATGTTGGGACTATAAAATTTTCAATCGAAGCTCAATAAAGTATAGTGTCTAATTGTCAAAAGTATACCGCGTAAACATTTATTTTTCATTCTTTTTCCTTTTTTCAGAAAAATACCAAAACAAAATAATTATATTTAGAGAAAGGTCTTGGCTTTATACTGTTCGAATCACGTGGATTATGGATCTAATATTATTAAACGTTGAAAAATTAAGAAATTTCATAGCAGTTGCAGCTTCCTTTGACTGTGTGACAACAATTCAACAAAAAAAATCATATAATTTCTCCGTGTGACAACTTGTCTCCGTGTGGCTTATAGGTTAGGGGTTCGAGTCATGGAAGAAGTCATTAATATTTGCATTAAGGTAGACGATTACATCTTACCCCTTGGGGTGCGGCCCTTCCCCGTACCCTGCGTGAATAACGAATACTTTATGCAACGAATGTCCTTTTAAGTATTACTTCTTTTTTGTTTTCAGATTTCATTAATCAAAATTGTCAATAAAGTGGTTGAAAATTATTAAAAAAAAATCAGGACTTAAATTTAGTAGAAACAAGAATTGTTAAGTGGTTTTTTCTTATATATATTAGTATTAATCAACAGAGTTACTTTATATCTTTGTTAATTGTAGATAACAAACATCCAATAAAATAATCAACATTAGCACATCATTGTTTTTTAAAAACAAAAAAAATGATATATTACATTCACATATTTGACTTTCGAGTGTGTTATCTCCCTTCTCTTTTTCAATGATTTTCTGGGGGTTTTTTTGGCGGTTGTTTAGATTGGGTCCCATTAAATTGAAAAATTTTATTTTGTGTATCATACAACTGACACTAGTTGTATGAGGTAATTTTTTTGTCTCATATTATTGTGGACCCAGATTTTTGTGGACCCAAAAGTGTAAGATTGGGGTCCATAAATTTGTGAGACAAAAAGGAGCCTTATACAACTAATGTAAGTTGTATGAGATACAAAATAAAACTTCTCCATTAAATTCGTCATCGCAAACGCGTACAACTTTATTGGCTAGTAATGTAGGATTTTAAATTTGGGTAGCCAAACGGGCGGGTCTAGCTTAAAGGTGGGTGAAATTCAAAAATAGTCAAATTTATAAATGGTAATTAAAAAATAATTACAGTTTCAAAATTAATTGAAATTTAGTCATTTTTCATATAAAGATAAATCTGAACAAAAACATTGTTCAAAATCCGTAAAATATTCCAGCATAATATACTGGAGTTCCAGCATAATATACTGGTCCAGTATAATATGCTGGAAGTTCATACACACGTGCTCTAATCTCCAGTATATTATGTTGGAATTTTTCGTGTGTTGGAGTTTCGGCATAATATGCTGGAAGTTTATACACAGGTACACCAATCTCCAGTATATTATGCTGGAACTTTTCGTGTTGCAGCAAAATAATGGCTATTTTTTAATAATTTTACAAACGCTGGCTATTTTTCAATTACCAGTCCAAAAACTGGTTTGCTCGTGCTATTTTCACCTTAAAAATTATGCAATTCTAAACTTATTGACCCAACTAAGTTAGATTCACGAGACCAGTTAAAATAGGCATACTCTTAAAAAAAATTGTATTCTCAAAGCTAAAACTCGAAATTTTTAATTAAAGGTGGATCACATCTATCTCACCCTATTCTAATGCGATTACTAATAATAAATTCATGTGATCGAGAAATAAACACTTAAATTATTTTTTTTGCCAACTAAGATTTTTCTAATTGGGAAAATAGACAGCAGTCAACAACTACACCTCTATGTTCACACTTCCATCTGCTTCTCACCTTAAAATATTTCCCAAAATTCATATTATATATATGTTCATTTATTCATTTGATATCTCCTCTGATAATTCTTCATGTTCTTGTCATTAAATACCCTCCCAAAGTTTCTTCAATATTTGACCCTTTTTCTCATAGGACTTTGGTCCTTCATCTCATTCAGTGTTGAAAATTACAAACCTTTCAATATCTTCTTTGACACCTTTCTAATATTCGGCCTAGTGCAGTGCATAGCATACGTTAAACGGCCAACTACACGAGCATAATCTAGTTGATCGGAAGAGCCGCGGTGGCCGCCTTGAAGTACAATTTTCATCGAGCGGCGGGTAGAATCCTTTGCAGACGACTTAAATACGTGACGGGGTATTGTAAGTGGCAGAGTGGCTTTGCTGCCACGATCCACTGAGATTCAGCCCTTTGTCGCTCCGATTCGTAAAAAAAAATATATATATATATATAATAATAATAATAATCTAGTTGACTAACAGATCTTCCCGAGTTCTCAAACAACATGGATTTAGAATCAATTTCTCCCATGAAAAGTCCTCCAATTAATTTGCATTCTTCTTCTCATTCTAGTTTTCCAATTATTGCCATAGCTATTATAGGCATTTTTGCTATTATTTTCTTGCTAGTCATTTACTATGTTTTTGTCATCAAATGTTGCTTGAATTGGCAAAGAGTTGATCTTTTGAGGCCATTTTCATTTTCAAGAAGTCGAAATATTGAAGACCCTTTAACGGTTTACTCACAAGCAGTGGAAAATGAGGGACTGAACGAATCAGTGATTCGTTCAATCCCCGTTTTCCAATACAAGAAAAGGGAAGAAAATACAACAACTTCTTGTGAATGTGTTGTTTGTTTGAATGAGTTTCAAGAAGATGAGATGCTAAGAGTCATTCCAAATTGTGGCCATGTTTTTCACATTGATTGTATTGATATTTGGCTTCAAAATAATGCAAATTGTCCACTTTGTAGAATTAGCATCTCATTATCAAAAAATACAACAAATTCCCAATTGGATCAAATCATCACTCCTAAAGATCAAGACTATGTTGTGATAGAAATAGGGGATTTATCAATTAGTCCTTCTACTAGAAAAATTGAACCAAATGTACCAAAAACAAAAGTCAAAAAATTGAACCATGTTTCAAGTATGGGAGATGAATGCATTGACATAATTAGGAACAAGGATGAACAATTCACATTTCAACCAACCAGGAGATCTTTCTCAATGGATTCGGCGTCGGATCGACAACTTTACGTAGCAGTTCAAGAGATTATTCAGCAGCAAAGGCAAGTTACTAATGTTAGTCCTAGTGAAGGTAGTAGTAGTAGAATTAAAAGATTTTTTTCATTTGGGAATGGAAGAGGATCAAGAAATGCAGTTTTACCAGTTCACTTAGAGTCATAGTGTGTGGGGG